GAAGTCGGACATCAACTCCAAACTGGAGGACTTCCCGTATACTTCTTCTCCATGCGAGGTCTTCTTTCAAAAGCCGATCTGACTACGCAGCTTCTGAGCTTCTTTAGAAGACACTCTACAAAAGATCAAATGCCTCATGGGATGTCCATAGAAGACGAACTTTCCCGCTTTTTAAGCAACATTTCAGATAAATTTGTGATAATTCTTGACAATGCAGATGAATTACTCGAAAGTGGAGCACCCAATGTGAAGGAGGATTTTATAAACCTTCTGGAAGTCATTCTTAATCAATTCAAAAATTTAACATTTCTTCTTACCACAAGGGAATCTCTTGAGTTTATGAATGTGCATTTTGAAGGCCATCAAGCAGTAAGAATAGGGCCATTACACGAGTCCTTCTCTCAAACCTTAGTCGGCGGATTACTTCCAAAAGCAACAGCGTCTGACTGCTCGAAAATTGCAAAAATCTGTGGTTTCGTACCTTTGGCCATGAAACTATTGTGTTCCTCCATTACTGAAGATAATGCTCAGCCGAGTCAATTTTTAGATACCTTCAAGGAATCAATAGAAAGTAGCCTTTTCGAGCTGTTGGACAATCCAGATTATCCAAGCTATCTGCGATTGAGGCTCCTATTTAAATCCTCTTTTCAGAGACTCTCTTTATCAGAGAAAGAAGCATTGGTATCACTTAGTGTTCTTTCTGGAGATTTTAACCACTCAGTTGCTGCAGCTGTCATGGGTGTAAAAACAACTCTGGAGGCCAAGAAAGTCTTGCATAGACTTCGGAGAAAATCTTTTCTTGACTCTAGCTCCAAGGCTGAGTCATTTTCGATGCATAAGTTGGTTCTTTATTTTGCAAGAGAAAAAGGTGAAGATGAAATGAAAGAAGCAATTCTAAACTCCAAGGCACGTTTGTCTGCATTTTACGTCTCTCTTTTCGAGCAGCTAAATCAACAGTTTTTGACAGGACAATCCATGCAAGCATTTATTGATTTCTATGAAGAGAAGCAGAATATTGTTCAAAGTCTTATGGAGAGCTGTTCCGATCCTAAGACATGTGACGTTGCATTTGGTGTCCTGACAAAAGCAGAAATCTTTCTAGACTCCCTTTTCTGGTGCGAGGGAAAAATCATCGACAAAATTTACGATCACGCAACCAAAGAAGCTCAGAAGTTTAAAAAGGGCGCATTCTACAGTCAGTTGCTGGTGTCCTTAGCATTCTTTGAAGTGACTTGGGGGATAAATGGAAGATCCATGACGCTGCTCTCTAAAGCCGAAGGCCCTTCTTTGTCGGTAGATGATAAAATAAAAATCCTGTGTTATAGAGGCATCTGTCAACTGGTTTCAGGCAAAGTAGACGACGGAGCTCAGAACTTGCAAGAAGCTCTTTGCTTGATGAGTGACAGCCCGGAACAGCGAATTCTCAGCGTAACTGCACTGCAAATTCTTGTTACTTACTTTCTTTTCAATAAAAAGAAAGCAACTTCACTAGAGTTTTACACCAAAGCTTTACATGAATGCAGAGCATTAGGAGACACAAGTCTTCTTGTTATTCCTCCGGTGAATAACAAAGATTTGACAATGATCGAAGCAGATATGCCGGAACCAGATGTTATAACCGCTCAACCACTTAGATTAGAAACTATTTGCGTTGTTAGCAAAGCAACAGAAATGTTCTCTGATTACGAAACAAAGCAAGCAATAAGCAAATCTGTGCTAAGGATGTCAAATCAAACAAAAACACAGATCCTCCCACATTCCATTGGTTCATGGACCTTCCAGCGCAACATCAATTGGACACTTAAAAATGTACTGAATAATCCCGAGGAGGCATCAAAGTTGTGCGACACACGGATCAGTTATCATAAAAAGACCTTAAAACAAAGTGGAAAAGTTAACGCAGGAGATAGAGCTAAACCCAACAAAAATCTTGATTTAAATTTGCATCAAGAAGAATTATATAAAAGCTATATGGACCAAGGCAACACTCTTTTTCAGGTGCAAAACTATCCTAGAGCCATTCAGTCCTTTGAATATGCCCTAAACATCGCAAGAGGACTCTTCAAGGAAGAACACCCAGACACAGCCGAAAGTTACTTTTCTATCGGAGTAACACAACATGCTTTAGGAAATTTCTCGTCAGCACTTCAGTCCCAACAGCGTGCTCTTGACATAAGAGTTAAACTCTTCGGGGAAGAACACCGAGACACAGCCAAAAGTTACTTTTCGATCGGAGTAACACAACATGCTTTAGGCAATTTCTCGTCAGCACTTCAGTCCCATCAGCGTGCTCTTGACATAAGAGTTAAACTCTTCGGGGAAGAACACCCAGACACAGCCAAAAGTTACTTTTCTATCGGAGTAACACAACATGCTTTAGGAAATTTCTCGTCAGCACTTCAGTCCCATCAGCGTGCTCTTGACATAAGAGTTAAACTCTTCGGGGAAGAACACCCAGACACAGCCAAAAGTTACTTTAATCTCGGAGTAACACAACATGCTTCAGGAAATTTCTCGTCAGCACTTCAGTCCGATCAGCGTGCTCTTGACATAAGAGTTAAACTCTTCGGGGAAGAACACCCAGACACAGCCGAAAGTTACTTTTCTATCGGAGTAACACAACATGCTTTAGGAAATTTCTCGTCAGCACTTCAGTCCCATCAGCGTGCTCTTGACATAAGAGTTAAACTCTTCGGGGAAGAACACCGAGACACAGCCGAAAGTTACTTTTCTATCGGAGTAACACAACATGCTTTAGGCAATTTCTCGTCAGCACTTCAGTCCCATCAGCGTGCTCTTGACATAAGAGTTAAACTCTTCGGGGAAGAACACCCAGACACAGCCGAAAGTTACTTTTCTATCGGAGTAACACAACATGCTTTAGGAAATTTCTCGTCAGCAAATTTCTCGTCAGCACTTCAGTCCCATCAGCGTGCTCTTGACATAAGAGTTAAACTCTTCGGGGAAGAACACCGAGACACAGCCGAAAGTTACTTTTCTATCGGAGTAACACAACATGCTTTAGGAAATTTCTCGTCAGCACTTCAGTCCCATCAGCGTGCTCTTGACATAAGAGTTAAACTCTACGGGGAAAAACACCGAGACACAGCCGAAAGTTACTTTTCTATCGGAGTAACACAACATGCTTTAGAAAATTTCTCGTCAGCACTTCAGTCCCATCAGCGTGCTCTTGACATAAGAGTTAAACTCTTCGGGGAAGAACACCGAGACACAGCCGAAAGTTACTTTTCTATCGGAGTAACACAACATGCTTTAGAAAATTTCTCGTCAGCACTTCAGTCCCATCAGCGTGCTCTTGACATAAGAGTTAAACTCTTTGGGGAAGAACACCGAGACACAGCCGAAAGTTACTTTTCTATCGGAGTAACACAACATGCTTTAGAAAATTTCTCGTCAGCACTTCAGTCCCATCAGCGTGCTCTTGACATAAGAGTTAAACTCTTTGGGGAAGAACACCGAGACACAGCCGAAAGTTACTTTTCTATCGGAGTAACACAACATGCTTTAGGAAATTTCTCGTCAGCACTTCAGTCCAGTCAGCGTGCTCTTGACATAAGAGTTAAACTCTTCGGGGAACAACACCGAGACACAGCCGAAAGTTACTTTTCTATCGGAGTAACACAACATGCTTTAGGAAATTTTTCGTCAGCACTTCAGTCCCATCAGCGTGCTCTTGACATAAGAGTTAAACTCTTTGGGGAAGAACACCCAGACACAGCCAAAAGTTACTTTTCTATCGGAGTAACACAACATGCTTTAGAAAATTTCTCGTCAGCACTTCAGTCCCATCAGCGTGCTCTTGACATAAGAGTTAAACTCTTTGGGGAAGAACACCGAGACACAGCCGAAAGTTACTTTTCTATCGGAGTAACACAACATGCTTTAGAAAATTTCTCGTCAGCACTTCAGTCCCATCAGCGTGCTCTTGACATAAGAGTTAAACTCTTTGGGGAAGAACACCGAGACACAGCCGAAAGTTACTTTTCTATCGGAGTAACACAACATGCTTTAGAAAATTTCTCGTCAGCACTTCAGTCCATACAGCATGCTCTTGACATAAGAGTTAAACTCTTTGGGGAAGAACACCGAGACACAGCCGAAAGTTCCTTTTCTATCGGGGTAACACAACATGCTTTAGAAAATTTCTCGTCAGCACTTCAGTCCCATCAGCGTGCTCTTGACATAAGAGTTAAACTCTTCGGCGAAGAACACCCAGACACAGCCAAAAGTTACTTTTCTATCGGAGTAACACAACATGCTTTAGGAAATTTCTCGTCAGCACTTCAGTCCCATCAGCATGCTCTTGACATAAGAGTTAAACTCTTCGGGGAAGAACACCAAGACACAGCCGAAAGTTACTTTTATCTCGGAGTAAAACAAGATGCTTTAAGCAATTTCTCGTAAGCACTTCATTCCAAACAGCGTGCTCTTGACATAAGAGTTAAACTCTTCGGCGAAGAACACCCAGACGCAGCCGAAAGTTACTTTTCTATCGGATTAACACAACATACTTTAGGAAATTTCTCGTCAGCACTTCAGTCCCATCACTTTTATCTCGGAGTAAGAGAACATGCTTTTTTTTTTAAATTTTTATTTTTAATTTTATTTGTTTTTGGGTTTTTACAGTTTTTACAAGTACGTAAGATACATCATAAATTTCTACATGCATAAATTTACATTACACTACTCTATTACACAAAGAAAATACCACTACACTGGACTACGATAATAAAAGAAAAGAAAGAAAGAAAAAAAAAAAAAAAAGGGGCATCGCGTATTGATATAAATAATAAATTTGTTCAGCTATTGTTCTATCAGTTGAAGGAGGGGTTTCCATTTGTTGTAATGGATCTCAAGTTTATTATTCTTTCTGGCTATAAAACGTTCTATTTGAAACGTACTCTTAATTCTTTCGAAAAAGGATTGAAAGGATAGAGAAGTCTTATTTAACTTGGTGCGATTAATAAAATATTTACCTTCTAGTACAATATAATTAAGAAGGATTCCGTATTAAGTGCTTTGTCGTATTTCTTCATTGCAGTTGGTATACTAGATATCTTAGAGACGAAAATCTGGTACAATGATTTTGAATAAAGCTTCTGTAAAGTCTTCTGTTCACCATCAACCCACAGGGAGAAATTACTTAGATTTTGGTATTGTGTGTTTCCGTAGATAGAAGTCCTATTTAGTTTCAATTCTCTACGCCACTCTTGTGGGAAAGCATTGAGGAGACGGAAAATTAGGAAGCGATCGACCGGCGAGAGAGATGAACGCCATGGCTCCTTATCCAATTTGAGCTCGCCATTTTCATCATAGAGGTTGCCAATTTTTATTAATCCTGCGTCAAAAAGCTTTTTACTATAAACTGATCTGGAATCAATGCATATAAACCTGTTGTTCCATAAGACCTGATTTACTATATCTGAAAGCGAGGAAGGGTTGTCCTCGTTCAAAGAAGACCAAGTTGAAATGCATTCGTTATAGAAGTCTGGAAGAGCTATTGGTAACTTTGTAAAATCAAAGTTACATTGGAACAAAAATTTACCTCCTACCTTTTTGAGGTAAGACTCCAAGAAAAATTTCCACCCAGCTGAGCTGGTTTCTATAAATTTCTTAATACAGAGTACTCCTTGAGTTTTAATCATGGACTCGATGTCGGGCATTTTTAACCCCCTTTTTCGAGGGAGTTTATCAGTGCATTTCGCTTAACTTTGTCCTTGCCCTTCCAAACGAATGAATATAGTAGATTATTGATTTTTTTAATGAAGTCTTTCTTGGTTGAAATAAGAGATGCTCGATACAAAATTTTTGGTATAGCGAATGACTTGATTACTTGTATTCTTCCTAACAAAGTAAGACCTCTCCAACTCCAGCCTTTCACAGATTCTCTCAGGGATTTCTCGATAGTTTCAAAATTCATTTTGTAAAACAAAGATGGATTATGGGTGAAGTGGACCCCCAGGATTTTAACCACCTTACTTATCTCCTTTACACCTAGTTCCGAGGCTTTTATTTCCATATTACCAAGCAAAAGAATTTCCATTTTGTCGTGATTTATACACAAGCCTGAGTATGTGGTAAAAAGGTTAATGTTATTGAATAGGGCGAGGTGTGACTGCTTGTCACGGACAAATGATGTCATATCATCTACAAATATAACTAATTTCAGTTCATTTCCATCTACGTTAATACCTCTTATTTGATTGTTATTTCGCACAGAGATAGCAAGCAGTTCAAGCACTATGATAAAGAGGGATGGCGATAGTGGATCGCCTTGGCGGACACCCCTTTTGAGGTTAAAAGAGGGAGTTGAAAAACCATTATTTGTCACAGAGCTTAATATGTTACTGTAGAACGTTTTAATCCATGCCCTGAAAGACTCTCCAAAACCAAACGATTCCAGTGATTTTGATAGAAAATTCCAATTTACGGAGTCAAAGGCTTTCTCAAAATCTATAGCAGTGATAATACCTTTGTAGTCTTTTGCTTTCGTAAAATCCATTACATCACTTATTGTTCGGGTTGCGTCAAATATAGTCCGTCCCTTAACGAAGGCATTTTGATCGTAATGAATAATATCCGGCAATACTTTTTCAAGTCTCTTTGCAATGGCTTTTGACCCAATTTTAACGTCTACGTTTAGGAGGGATATTGGTCTCCAATTTTTTATCAATCTCCTGTCCTTACCCTTGTTCTCTATTAATGTTATTACGGCTTGCTTTTGTGTATTCGATAATTCCCCATGAAAGTAAGCATAGTTTAATGTGTCTACAAGAAGCGTACCAATTTCTGGCCAAAAGAATTTGTAAAATTCTATTGTAAGCCCGTCGTTTCCAGGGGTTTTATTATTTTCAAATGTAGATAGAACTTTATAGCATTCTGAATATCTCAGCTGTCCCTCGCATAGGTCGCGCTGATCAACATTTAATGTTGGAATAGAAGAACGATTCCCCACAAAAGGACAGGTTGATAAAATACTTGCTGTTCCTTTCTCCTTGTTCAAACCATGTTGCCTGGGAACGAATGATCGAGCCTCTTACAATATAGTCGTATTCCCTTTCGTATTCAGCCTTAAGCGCTTCAAGCTTAGCGACGTTTTCCTGTGTTGCTGATTCTTCTAAATCCTTTTCGCATATTTTAAGCTTATTTTCAATGGTCTGGAGTTTCTTTCGCCTTTCTTTTGCTTTTGATATGCTGTACAAGATACTTTCTTGGCGAATTTTGTATTTCATCCAATCCCATTTAACTCTTGTGCCATCACAAGAATTAATTTCTTGAAGCCAATTTGAAAAGTTTTCACGCAAGCTTTGAACAAAGACAAGATCCTCCAGAAGGCTATTATTAAACTTCCAAAAGGACGGCCCACGTTGTTGATCATCTAGGCTGTCGATTTCAAGTGTAATTGCCAGATGATCTGTTTTAATAGAGGTTACAATTTCGCTTTTGACTACATCTTCCTGTAACATATCACTTATGAACAAATAATCTAAACGTCTTTTAA